CCTGTCTTTAAGAGACCAACCAGCAGCTGTAAGAGCTGCACTGAACACTGAAAGTGAGGTTAAAGTTTACTCTGAGGGTTACTTCTGTCCTCACACTAATGCCATGCTGTCAAAGATGTAAAGCATATCAGCAGGTTATGGCATGACACAGAAAACACATCAGTAATACAACAACCTGTCAGCTATGTGGTGCTTGTTTTCATTACCTGAGTATGAAATATCTTTGATAAAGAAAGCAGTGGAATACTTTGCCCTAGTATTTAGCGAATAGACAGATAAGCACAAGTGATGTTTGCTTTGATGTTGATGAAGAAGTAAAGACAAGGTCACGAGAATGTCTGTGTGGGTGTTCCAGGAAAGAAAAAGGAGGAAAAGAGGAAGATTTGTGGATGTAATAACAGAGGACATGCAGAGAGATGATGTGACAGGAGATGCTAGGGATAGGGTGAGATATCCTCCTTGCTCTCTGCCCTTTCCTGCCCTGCAGCCGGGCCTTACCTGTAGTAAGTGCTGCTCCTCTGTTTGCTTTTGTTGGTATTAATTTCAGGGAGAAACCCAACCGCTGTGTTCATCTTCACCTGCAGGTCAACCTGGTGGAGAGAGAGAGGACCCCACCCCACAGAAAACTTTATGTATGAACTTCAATCAGTTTAACACTGGTGCCTCTTCTAAAATCACAGGGTTTGTCTTTCCCGCTATTATATTTTTATCTTGATTTGAACAGTTTTTCTGCATCTAACAGGGTCACCAAAGAGCGCAGGTCGTTTAAATACAATTACAATAATTTAAGTGAGAATAAGTTAGGCAGACTATTCTGGAGTTTAACTGTGATATTTACAGCTGCACTTTTTAAAAACACACGCAGAGCTCCTGAATTACCGAAAGAAAGACACAACCAGCTGCTCGTGACGGTGAAGCGGGTGAGGTGCACCCGAAAAGCTCCGGAATGAAGCTAGAACGTGAAGCTAATGTCATTAAACCGGAATAACAAAAATAAATAAAATAAAATAACAGTAACCCTGCTAAGATTTCAAATGTAACACACGGAGAAAGAAGCGCAGAAACACGAACTCACCGCCAGTTTTATTAGAGAAAAACTTTCCACGCTGCCAGCACACTCAACTTCGTCACTATGACAACACCGAACCAAGCGTGAGTCGACCAGAGCAACGAGCTGAACTGCTTCCGGTCAGGTGGTCCCATTAAAAACAATAATTTTTTGTGTCTGCATATTAATTTTATTTATTCCATGGGTTTGTTATTATTTTCATTCGTGGTGACGAATGTGCATCTTGTAAAAACTGTTTAACAAAAACTTCATAAAGTCCATTTTTTTTCTTTTCTTTCTCTTCTAACAGGTAAGTTTCTTTTCTTTTCTTTTTTTTTTGCATTAATCCCAGAATGAAGAGGAATAAAGTCTGACAGTATTTTCCCTGTAAATTTACACCTTTATCTCCGAGAGTGCTTAATTTTTAAGAAGCTTCACTGACTTAAAAAAAAAATCTTTGTAATATGAAAAAATCCATGGAAGCTTCTTTCCACCACAAAAAAAATGAAAAATATTTTTTTTATTCATGTGTCAAAATTTCATATCATCCCAAAATTTTGACGTAATAAATTTCAAATAATCTTGTCAAATGTTTGAATTAGAAAGTTAAACATTTGACATATCAAAACTTGTTGTTGTTTTTATATGAGAAAAACACTCATGTGAAAAAGCATGAAAGTAATGGCGAAAGATTTCAATTTGATATATTGACGTGCCCTCAGCTGTAATAAAAGAGCAAATGGGTTGATACTTCATTTACTTATTTATCATTTATTTATCTAGTTAGGGTGTTTTTCAGACTCAGAGTCAGCCTGTGGGAGGTGGCATACAATGACTTTGTGCTTTTTGATCAAAATCTGATCAAAATCTTTCCAAATATTTAATATATTATAATAAGCCAATTTTATTTATAAAGCACTTTTAAAAAACGATAGCGGCTCCAGCAGATCCCAGGAACGACATCCAAGATCTCTGTCCAGAAGAGAACAGTCCTAGGGTGGTGGAGAATGGCCGAGCTAAGATCCTGTGTGACTTCCAGACGGAAAAAACGGTGGTGGCTAACCAACAGGACATAGTGGTGGTAGACAAACAGAAGAAAGTGGCTGTAGTGAGAGATGTAGCGATACTGAATGAAAGCAACAGCAGAAAGAAGCATCAGGAGAAGCTTGAGAAGTACCAGAGAAGAAGATGTCGAGGGTGAAGGTGAAGGTGGTCCCAGTGGTAATCGGAGCACTAGGTGCAGTGACTCCCAAGCTAGACAAGTGGCTCCAGCAGATCCCAGGAACAACATCAGAGATCTCTGTCCAGAAGAGCGCAGTCCTAGGAACAACTAAGATACTGCGCAGGACACTCAAGCTCCCAGCTTCACCCGAGCTTGAAGGATAAACCACCTGAAGGGGCGAGGGGGGAATTTTTATTTTTTATTTTTTAAATATTAGTTATATATCAGTTATTAGCAGTTTTATCAGTAATTTGTAAGACCTGCATATGACGGAGGTTCATGAGAAGCTTGTAAATAGTAACATTACACACCAGAGGATGCTGCAGAGAGGGGTTCATTCATTTCAATAAATTTATTTTTCATTAATTTGTTCTTCATAAATCAGTTTAGTTATTGCACGTGAGCACAAATGGTTGCAGAAATCTTGCAGACAGAGTTTTAAACCACAGCCAGTCACAAAAATGTCCGGATAAAACAACAAAAGCCAAGAATGATTTTGACTGTGGGCGCTGACAGAGCAAAAAGACGCAGTAAAACTGCAGCAGTGGAGTCAGCGGGGGTTGAGTAAAGCTTTTAAAGGAGCCATTTCAAAAAGATACACAAATTTTTCTTATTAACACTGCATTAAATCCTCTCCTCACGATTCATCTGCTTCTTTCCCTGTTTGCACTCTGCACACATCAGATGTTCGGGTTCCCGCAGTGAGACTTTTCCATTCAGCCTCACCACAGCTGGATGGAAATAGTGTGGATCTGCGTGTTCT